AGGGGGCCATAATGATGGTCCATCTCAGCAAAGGTAGCAGAGCATGAAAGCAATTTCACACTTTATTAGACAATTCAGGTGCTGGCTGCGCAAGCCTGGAGCGCGCACTGCTGCTCACGCCTCCAATCCTGTCTCGCAGCCCCAGGGCCACTCTCCATGGGGCTCAGCCCTCCCCCAGGCCACGCAGCACCATGCTGATCAGGGCTGGCGGCATGGCGAGCAGGGCCAGCACCGGCCGTGCGGGCTGCTTCACACAGGCCACCCTGCTCCCACACACGGGTAGGCGATGGGGACAGCCACACGCTGGCTCTGCTGGCAGCCAGCTCAGCCTGGCAGTGGCGGTGAACTCGAGCACCGTGTCTGCAAACGCAGCTCTGCTCAGGCCGGCTGTGCCCTCCAGCCTGGGGCAGACACCCTGCTCCTGCTGCCTGCAGGCTGGGTCCCCCCAGCTCCCCTTCTTCCCTGCCCACCACAGCCCTGCTGCACCCTTTCTCCTCTCTTGGCACCCCACAGTGAAGAGACAGGTCTGGATTTGGGAGCCTAGGCCTGGGGCTTCCCTGGCAGCTGCTTTCCCCTGGCATCTCCCTTGGTGTCCCAGCAGACGCATCAACACCTGGGCACACAGCCATCCTCCCTGTGATCCAGGGGTCTCCATCTGGAGATGCGCCTTGGGGTTCCCCACCCTGCCCATGGCCACTGCCCTGTCCCCCGGGGACAGGCATGCCCTGCAAGGCAGGGGAGAGTGGAGCCTGAGCTGCCACCACCCGCTCTCCGGCACGCGGCCGGGCTGGCGCCCTGCACCCCCGGGGACACGACTGTGTGCTGTCACAACCCTGTGGGTGGACGCTATCCAAATGTCTGCACGTCCAGGATATGAATCAGCCCGGGCAGGAGCAGAGCAGCCGCTCCTGGACAAAGCGAGCTGCCCGGCAGGCTGCTCCGGCAGCCAGGCTGTGCCGGTGCCAAACCCTTTGCAGGTCAGCAGGCAGGGTGCAGGCAGCAGCGCCTGCCCCGCTCCGCTGCCACCTTGCAGATCAGCCCTGGGCATGGCAGGACCCCGGCCTGGCACGTATTTCCCTCCCCCTTGCACAGTCCTGCTCCCACGGCACAGCGGCGCCTGGCCAGGGCAGTGCCTAACCTTGACCTGACCTCCTGGCGAGAAGCTGTCCCTGCCCCGCTGTCCCCTGGTGCCCCTGGCCACGAGCATGTTCCACCGGGCCAGCCAGAGCATTCCTCCCGGGAGAGCCTATCCTCGCCTGGCTATTTAAAGGCACACTGGTGCCCTTTATTCCCCCTCATGTTTAGGCTGGAAGAGCCCCGTACCCTCCAGTGACTTCAAGGGGCACTTCCAGGCTTGAGGCAGCAGCAGGTGCAATGATTTTGGGTGAAATCATGGATGAAGTGAGGGGTATCGGTGCCTCGTGTCCTGCAGCCAGGTACTAGGGCATGTCCTGGGGATAGACCCCATGGGGAAGGTCCCACGGCCATCAAGGCTGGGAGCAGGACTGGTGGGTACTGCAGTTCACCCCTTCGGGCCCAGAAAACAAAGAGGCTGCACAAGCGAATTCCCTTCTTCCTAGCTGGAATGTCTACAGCATGCTCCAGCTGCTGCTGGGACCTCGGGGTAGGCAGGGCACTAGTGCCACCACCGCTGGGCAGGGTGCTGGTACTGGCTGGCTCAGCGCCGTACGAAGGAGCCTCCTGGGCCTCAGCTGCACCCAGCTTGGAGCCCAACCATGTTACCTGGCAGGGGGCACGCAGCCGGTGCCTGACACAGCCAGCATGTCCCCAGTGTCCCCACCTTCTGCAGAGCACTGGTGTGTGGCTCACGTACATCTCGTGGTGGGATGTGCATGGGCTGTTTCCATCTTGCCCTTCAGGACTGTCAGCCCTGGCAAGCACTGGTAGATGGACATTTGATGGGTGGAGTGGTGGCCCGGGAGAGGCAACGGGGGTCTAGGACACCTGCAAGCACCTGCATCCCCGTGCCGGCTGCAGGCAGGGCAAAGAGCTCCATCTGGCTGGCACCGACACACAGGCAGCACTGGCGGTGGCTGGGAGGGAAAGGGGAGCTGCTGTTTCAGAGCACTCAAAATCCAGTCCTGATGAGTGGGATGGAGAGAGCCCAACCGGTTTCATAAGCTGCCTGTCAAGTCCTGCCCACCCCAGGTCTCCTTCCACCGGGCAGATCGGGGCACAGGCAGCAGCAGTTTCTCAGTGCTCCTTGTCTTGCTGCCACCTTTCAGCCTCTGAAGGGTCCAGCGCCCATGGACTCCTGCCGTCGCCTGCGCTGGCGCGGGGCTGATTGCATCTGCGCCCTGCAGAGCTGGCAGGAAGGTGGCTCGGGAGGGAAATCCGACTTGATGTGATTTGATTAGGAACGGAAAATATGGAGGAGCCATCAGCCACCAGCAGATGAGGAGTCTCAGAAGCACAGCCCCTCCCCAGCAGCCCTCGTCCCCCCAGCCTGCCCACCTTCCTGTTCCAAGGAGCCCATCGGCCTTTCCCCAGGCTGGGAGCATCCTTAGGACACGTGCCCAGCTCCAGTGCTGCCATCCCCTCCCGGCCTTCCTGTGGGTAAGCATTTGCTCCGGGCTTTCAGCAGCCCTGGGTGGAGGTAGCAAGCCCCCAGCCTCCCTGCAAATACAGCCCCAGGACCCTGCAGGTACAAAGGAGCGTGAGCCCGACAGGCAGCTCTGCCCCAAACCAGGCACCTGGACCCATGGGAGGGGTGCACAGTGAAAGCAGAGCAGCATCTGGGGCCTGTCCCCACCTTCCTGGCACCCATCCCATCCTTCCCCACACGGTGCAACCTTGTGTGAGGACGTGCCACCTCTGCCCCCTGCCCAGCCTGCAGCCGCAGGACAGCACTGCGGGAACCTGCACCCAGCCACCCTGCTGCCAAAAGTGCATACCGTGAGGAACCCGTGGGTGGCCGAGCGTGCTGCCTCCCTGCTGGGGAGGACGCAGGAGCTGGCATGCCAGCATTCGCCAGCTGGGCCATCGCACCTTTGATGCAGGCAGCAGCGGGTCCCCCAGCCAGGCTGCTCCACCGCCCGTGGTGGGTGAGGGTGGGCAGCGTGGCACCACGGGCTGAGCTCTCCTGCAGGGGGGAGCACAGTGCCAGTCCCTGAGGGCTGCAGCTGGGAGCTCCCAAATTCCCCTCTGACACTGTGTCGGCACTGCCATGGGCACAGCTCCCTGCCCTGAGCTCCATCGGCATCATGTAACAGCACAGCATCAGAGCAAGCCATGGGGAAACTGAGGCACAGAGCTGTGGCACCTCAGGCAGCGGTGGGATGGAGTGCTGCCTCCATCCCCAGACCGAGCCTTAGGTCAGGGACTGACTGACGCATGTTGTTTCTCCCAAAACCCTCTTCCACGGGGCCTGTGCTTTTACAGAGCACACATGGGCCAAACCACCGGAGATTCATGTGGGTCAGCAAGGGGGACACAGTGTCCCCAGAGCCGCAGGAGCCATGCCCTCCGTCCCCAGCTCTGAGCAGCCCCCTGGCTGGGGGGGAAGCAGCACACAGCTCGCCCTCAGCGGGCCCAGCCCAGCCCTGCTCACACCAGCACCACCAGCCCTGCCACCCCGGCCCAGCCCCACGCTGGCCAAGGACATGCATACCCCACCGTGGCAGCCAAACCTGAACCAGTGCTCCCAGTGCTCCTGCCTGGGCACACTGGGTGGTGGCTGGAGGCTGGCTCAGGTGCTGTGCCCCCTCCACGGCACAGCCCGCGCGTGGGGGAGCCCATGGGCACGGCGGGCACAGAGACAGTCTAATGTCTTATAATGTCAGCCTGTCCGTCACAGGAAATAGCGCCAGGGGTGGACAGAGCGCTTCATCATCAGCGGAGCCCAAAGCCCCTCTCCACGGGGTCAGCAGCCTCAGCCCCACTGTGCTGCAGGGGGAAACTGAGGCCAGGAGCAGTGCCCGGTGGCCGGGGGGGCTGGGGAGGGCCCCGGCCGCAGCACCCAGCCTGGCACCCTCCCGTCGCTGACGGTGCGGCCGGGCACAGGCTGGGGGTGGCGGGCCCCTCAG